TATGCTACTATAGTAACCAGCTCTAAACATATGAAGTTTTAACTTATTAGATATGTCGGGGAGTTTTGGTTTCTTTATCCATTCAAAGTAGGCTACTTCAAAAGGTATATTGTACCAGGTGTGCGGGTATGACATTTCTGTCATGGCGACTTGCCACGAACCATCCAAGTGTAAAGGCTGGGCCAGGTTCACCTGATAACTAGAGCTTGTATTGTTTTGAAATACATTAAGGCTGGCATTGGACGGCAGCGTAATGTAGAACCCTTCATTTATCTCCATGGCTGTAATGAAGGACTGAGCGTTGATTCTGTTTGCTTTTATACATCTTTGATTTCGCCAGCATCAACCTGCAGCTGTTGAATTTTTCGGGCCAATTATGCCAAGATACAAACATTTGTTTTTTCCCTCTCACCACCCGCCTTTTTAGAATTTTCTCGACTTGAAAAGCCTTGTCCTTGGATATCTTCAGTTTGTAAACAGGTGGCTGTCGAGGTAAGCCTTCAGACACCGTAAATAACTCGTCCGTATAACTCTGCTCATATTTTTTATCAAATACCCCTCTCAATTTGGATATCCTTACAAGCTCCCCCTCCTTAAAGTTCATTTTGGCAACAGCTTTTTTACGAAGGCTGGAAGGGTTATACAGGTTCTGGAACACTTGAGCCGCATTTTCCTTAGTCACTTACAATGGTGTCATCTTAATACTTCGGTGATAACTATTATTGTAACTTTCAAGTAGTTCAGGTAAGACGTCTATATATCTATGAGTGTTTTTAGATGTAAAATACCTCCACATTTTAGTTTTCAGCGTACGGTTAAATCTCTCTGTCACACATGCCTTCATATCACTGGCGGTTGCATAATGTGCTATACCTCGTTTCTTCAATAAGTTTTGAAAAACTTTGTTAAAGAATTCTTTCCCCGCGTCTGTCTTTTTAGGAATCTCACTGTGTGTTAAAATTGTATCAAAGGCTTGGGTAACCTCAATACCCGTCTTCTTCTTTAATGCCTGAGCATAGGCTTTTTTCGAAAATACATCTACGACTGTTAACAAATAATTAAAACCATCATTATATTCGGACAGCGACTGCATATCGCAGAGATCTGCTTGAAATTGTTGTAGCGGTCTGAGTACGAAAACTCTGTTTCTTACAAAATGCACCCGAGCCGGCTTATGTAAAGTATATGCATCCTGCTCAGATACATATTCTCTGACTTTCTCTACATTTACTTGTTTACTCATTTCATTCTGTACAGCTCTATGGAGTTTATCCACACCTCCTAAACTCCCTGGATTAGAAGGAGTGTAATACACCTTATGCATGACACGTTTCTCAGACATGTTCCCTGTTACAGCCCGATGAGGTAATGAGTACAACAGTTTTTCTTACAAAGCATTTTATTGATATGTCACACATGTATAAAAAAACATGTTAAAATAAGTAAAATAAAAATAAAAAACAGATACAAAATAAAACATACACTCTTAAAAATGCTGGGTTATTTCTATAAACACATTGCTGGGTTGATTTGGCTGGGTCATAATTATGGGTTATTTGGGTACTGTAAACACACTGGTGGGTTGTTCATGCTGGGTCAAAGGGGTTATTAGGGCTTCAATTGCAGTTGAACACCCGCCTGGGTTATTTTTAACCCAGAGGTTGCTTTATTCATTTTCCCACTTCTGAATCATTCTGGAATCATCTTTTTCAAAACACAAGGTATGTAACCTATATTTTACCTATATTTATATAATTATACAATTCTGTAACCTATATTTTTTTAATGAGTTGTGATCAGTGGCGTTTCTAGGTGTACAAAACTGGGGGGGCAGAAAGAGGTCGGGGGAGAGAGAGGGGGGGGGACAGAGAGAGGGGGGGAGGAGAGAGAGAGGGGGAGTGTCAAATTACATACTGAAGACCACAGGAGCAACACTGTGAGCGCATACATTTACGTACACAGCGTGGGGATGTCATAGTAATGCACCTTCATACATGGAGTAAAGGTCACCATCACAAAGTAATTCTTAACAATAACAACAACCGTAATGCTTTAGCATTAAAACACCATAGACTGTAAATATAAGGAAAACACAGACACTCATCATCGAGGTCACAATATCAATCGATCCAGCAGAGGCAAAACACAGAAGATCAACAAAATATATGACATAAATGAACTTACCAAAGCTGAAGGCTCACTTGAAAAGAAAAGCGGCACGGCGGTCCTTCCTCTGACAGAATGTGTCTATCACTTTGGGGATGAAGTCCTGTAGTTGCTGGATCAACTGGCTTTCAATTGAAAGCATGGCCAATGCGTTAAGTCGCGGCTGTCCCATGGTGTTGCGAGTGAAAGTCTTTATCCTTTTGAGGGTGGAAAAGTTCCTCTCTGACTCGGATGTCGTCATCGGAGTTGTCACTATTATTTTGACCAAAATAACAGTCTCAGCAAACGTTTCCTCCAAGTTGTTCTCGTGAATGGATTTCAACAGAGACAGGGCAGTGTTTCCAGTGTGAAGCTCACTGTGGCGGTAGAGCGTGGTCAGCTCAGACTTCAACTTCTCCTTGTTTCCCAACGCAGGCCCAGTTTCACGGCGCAGTCAAGCTCAGGTGTAGGAAATGACAGGACATGCTGTGGGAAGAATGAGCTGTCAACAAGCTTTGCAGCGATCAAATGGTCACTCTGTGAGAACCTCTGTTCCACCTGTGAGATGACTGTGTCACAAGCCTCCTTCATCACCGGCGCTGTGCTGCTGACTCGTCGGCCTGGCTCGTCTGTTCCATCATGAGCAGTGGCGGCCAATGCATCAGTTTTCTGCCTCATTTTCTGAACATTTTCCTTGAAACGGCAGAGCGCGCTGTTGATCCCAGGTGCATCGATGCTTCGTTTTTGCAGAGTGTTGTATAGAACATCCACTTCTGGCATAAGCAACGAAAAAAACTCCAGGAGCTGCATAAATGCTCGGTCCCGCAGTTTCTTTGACAGGCCGTATGCCTCACTTATGGTGACCGCATCCCATCCTGGTTGTGCGCGTATATGCTTCATACACTGAAGTAGTGCATCTCGGGTCTCCCAAACCGCGTTCACAGTTCTGCTTTTAAAGTTCCATCTCACAGCCGGTGGCCGTGGGATGCGTCTCTGTGTTGCCTCTGCAAGAGCTGCAACACGTTTTGGAGCACCGGAGAAAAAAGTGGAAAAAGCAGTTAGATCTGCAAAAAACACCTTCAGGATGCTCATCCTTGCTGAACACAGTTGCTGCAGGGTCAGGTTCAGTTGGTGGGCGTAGCAGTGAACAAACTGAGCGTTTGGGTACGTCTCCTTCATCACCGTCTGTACCCCGCGCACGTTACCGCTCATGACGGCCGCCCCGTCATAGGTCTGAGCGATTAGCTTTTCTTTCAGCTTCAGGGGTTCCAGAACAGCCTTGATGCTGTTAGAGAGACCTACACCAGTTTTGTCCTTTACTTCCACAAACTCCAAAAAACGCTCTGTAACTGTGAGGTCAGGCATAATGTATCGCAGCACAATCACCATTTGCGATTTACAGGAGACATTGGTTGTCTCGTCGGCCTGAACGGCAACAAATGATGTGTTGTCCACTTGCTTGGCTATTTCCTCCCTGTACACATCATACATGCAGTCCAAGAGTTCATTCTGTATGGTGCTTGATGTCCCTTTGAAAACAAGCTGAGCTTCGTAGTGCCGTCGAAGCCTGGAATCGCCCTCACACATTGTCTCGAAAATTGACCTGAATATCCCTGGATTCAGAGAGTCCGCCGACTCGTTGTAGCCCCGCAGTGCTGTCTCACATTTCCCACACAGTTTAATACAGGTGATGATCCGACCAAGCACGTACCTGTTTTCTTCCACCTTCCTATTATGAGAATCAATGCCGCGTCTGTAGGCGCTGTCAATCTGAGCTGCAACATTCACCCTTCCAAGTAATCCCAATTTTACGGCATTTTCCAAATGACTGTTGCTGCTCTCATGCTTCATTGTCCTCTCCGAAAGATGCTTTAAGTCCTTGTAACCTGTCCTCGACCAAGTACCTTGATCTTCACCAAAAAGCAGGCAAGGAAAGCAAAAGAGGGAATTCTTCTGGATGCTCGCCGTTAGCCATTTCTTTTTAGCAAACCACTCAGCGTTAAACCCACGTTTAACTTTGCCCGCAGTCTGGACCATTTGGAAATCCGGTGGATGGTGGGCACCGAGGCGCTTTACCTCCAGTTTCTCTCCGAGACTAAGTGTCTCAAATGTGTGCTCCAGTAAATGGTCAACTTCATTCATTTTCTTTCAGTTTTTTACTTCTTTTAATCGCTGGTGATGTTAGCTATATGCTGCTCTCTCGTCTCCTCTTCAAACTACACGTGACGTTTCGCAGCACTGCACACGTGAGTACTTACAGCCAATCAATTCTGAATTATGTGAGATGACTTATGGTGGGGATGGGAGCACTATGCCCCTACGGTCATTATTTTTTTGCCACACACATTAAATAGAAAAATACTCTGAGCATGCGCAGTGTAGTTTTTACAATCACCGTTCACTTAGACTGTGAGAGGGAGGGGCAGGATCGGGTTTTGTCCCACATGGCTCTAAACAGCTCAAAACGGCACTCTAGACACTAATTAGAAGAACACAGACTAAAACAGAAATATACAGACGAATCAGATTATTAAACATGACCTTAAAATATATTTTATATGTTTTTTTATTTATTTTTTAGTATTTTTTTGTAATCATTATTTGTAATACTTTCTTCTGACACTAGGTGGGGCTGTGCCCCACCTGCCCCTAATGACCCGCCGCCACTGGTTGTGATAACAGTTCAATAGGGATCTTTAGGCATTTAACAGACTGTGCAAAGTATAACATTAGCAGTTAACGTCGGCTACAAATGTTTTACATTTCTGTCAATGAGTGAAAGAGCCTTGAATTTACGTTGTGATGCTATGAATTATTATTTTACAAAGACGTGTGTTCTACTAGTAGCTATAAATGGGTCTGAACTATAGCTTTGGATTTGTGTGCAAAAGTATTAGATGTACAATAAGGCAGTATAAATCAGATGGCTTTTACGTCACAACTCTCTTTCCCAGCATGCAGCTCGGGCGCGGGCTTTCACACACACGGACAGACAGACGACAAAGAAGCTCATTGATGTAGGTAAGTTTAGGTTACTAGAGTTATTTATTAATTACATTAATCATTAAAGTTAGCAACTATTGAAGTTATTTTTAGGAGTGAGTGACCGGAGTCACCGAACCACATAATGTAACATTTTAGTTCCCTGCCATCGACGTGTTACCATAGGTTAGCTTAGCTTAGCATAGCACACCAACCAGCTAGCTAGCTAGGTCGTGTCAGGGGCAAATAATAATAATTCGTGAATGATTAAAATGTCTTCATGGAGAGATTTGGCAGACCCCCTGTAGTAACTGTACATTAGTAGCTTGGTACCTTACAATAAATGTTAAAACATTGCACAGTTTTGTGAAATTCTAATGTACTTAATCTGATGTGATTCTAGTAGAGGGTTTCACCATGGACACGTTTGTCACAGAGACGTTGACTGCATGGCAGCTTGAGAACTTGATTGACACATTTAAAGGTAAGTTAATTTTTATTGAGACAATGTTGAGATGTTACTATTAAATATGTTGTTATATATTAAAAAGAGCAAGGTAGGGCTGCAACAAACAACTAATTTGATAATCGATTAATCTATCGATTAATGAAACGATTAATCGACTATTCGGACTATTACTGTATGCTTTGCACAATTTCTCAAACGCTCTTATTTAGCCATCAACTTGTAGATGTAGCTTGAGCTTGTTTTAGGCATGTGGAAACTAACAAGACAATAAAGATGAATACTTGATTCAAAAATACATATTATTAAATTAACTAAACACATTTTGAACAAAATTAACATTGCTTTTAATTTAAATTAAATACATAATATTTCACATCAAAAGAAACAACAGTGTTTTAACAAATGGTATTAAATAATGTGATGACAGAACTGTAAACAGAATAGGTGAAACTTTAACAAACTAAATAACTCAGTTTCCTCTAATAAATAAAATAGCTTTTGAAAATGTGTGCATCTTAAAATGCTTAATTTTAGATAACTAAAATAAAGTGTAGCAGCAGCTTGAGTTTCCCTTTTTCTTTGTTAACCGTTTGACATCATGACTTCACAGTTTCAGCCGATTATAGAACAATATCAGTCTTTACATCATAACAACTGAACAGTTTAAAGTTTCTCTTTCTGTCCCTCTTATATTGCAGTCCCTCACTCACTTTGTTCTGTTCAGTGTGAGAATTGAGCTGGAGCTTATTGTCCTGCCAGGAGTTTAGATCTGGGCTGACATGGAGTCAGGGCCATTCTCACACACATGCAGGTGCTCATTGGTTTCAGTGCAAACACAGGTAGGTGAAGAAAGAGAGAACTATTCGAAGCAGAAAAGAAACAGCGTAATATACCATCTGACAAACGCCTGTGCTATAATGCTTCAATTAACTGCTATTCTTTATAATATACTCAGATCAATAGGAGACAGAGATGTTAAGCTATAAATCAAGGGTTTTTATTATTATTTACAGAAAGGGTGGGGAACCTTTTTCCTTTACATTTTTACAACATCCTCCGAGGGCCGTACAAATGATTGAACTCAACCTCTGCTTAAAAAAACTAAAATCACAGCCCATTCATTTCGCCTTTCTTTCATGCTGTGCAAAGAAAAAGCAACCAATCCAAATGTATTTAGTATCCTATCCATGTGAACATGATTTAAGTGGGGGGGGGGACCTCACCTCCTCTAGGGGGGTCCGGGGGCATGTTCCCCCGGGAAGATTTTTTTTTTAAATATTGAAGTTAAAAGCATCAATCTGGCCTACATCTGGTCCCACAATTGTAACCACATTTACAATCTTTATGATTTTCATTTTTGAATTTCAGACCAGGAAGTTGATGAGGAAAGTTTCCGCCTGCTGGATGCCATTGCCATTGCCTCGCTAATACCGAAAATTGGACACCGTGTCAAATTCCAGAAATGTCACAAGGAACTTGTGAGTAAAGGGTTTGTTTTTATCTGAAGTGGCAGATAAGCTTTCTTCTCTGCTCCATCCACTTATTTGTTTCACACCTTGCCTTGCCCTTTAAGAAGTGTCAGCTACAGTAGTTAATGATGGCATATACATGCTTTCGCTGCAGACAAGTGATACCCGGTGAAGCTAAGGGTCTGTTTGTTCATTTGAGGGCAGTGCATGGCATGAATAGTGCTTCAACATTCTGGCAGTGCCACGAACATGGTTGCAGGCGTTCTTTTGGGTATGTGCGGTCTTTCAGAAGACACCTTGTGCAGCATTATGTCCCAGACCATTATCATGGCACTGAACAGCATTCCAGGGGGGCCTCAAGAGCATCCATTTCAGTTCCCATGAATGTAGACAATTCTGATCCTGTAGAGGTCCAAAATGAACATGATGGTTACTGGGATGACTTGGAACCAGAAACCATAACCGAGCGAATAGCTCTGTTTTTGGCAACCCTTAAGGCTAAATCGGCACAGACCTACAGTACAGTACGTTTTGTTGTGCAACAAACATCTAGTTTGGTTTCGGACATTGTCAGTTCACTCCAGAGGAAGACAATGTATCTGTTTGAGAAATGTGGTCATAGTGATGAACCCGGGGTAAAGGAACTGGCCCATGATTTTGAGGCAGCAGCTAGTCCATTCGAAGGGTTTGAATCAGAATTCAAACAGATGCAGTATTTTGTCAAGTCAGGCAACTTCATTGACCCTGTAGAGGAGGCGTTCACTGGAGAGTCCTTTGTGCAGAGAAGGGCCTCTGCTACTGGGACAGTTAGACAGGTTTTACTGCAAGATACGTTTTATCGTGTCCCCCTGAAACCTCTCTTGCTTAAAGTGCTTGAGATCCCTGGCATTTTGGATGCCATCTTTGCCTGGCAGCAAAGAGAAGATGGAGTCCTTTCAGACTTCTATGATGGGGAATACTGTAAGCAGCATCCTCTCTTCTCCAGGGAAGTGTCTGTTCCACTTCTGTTGTACAACGATGACTGAAACAGTCAACCCACTGGGATCAAAGGTTGCAGTGCACAAGTTGGGGTTCATTTACTTGGTCATCAAGAGTTTGCCCCCAGCGTTTTTATCAAAACTCTCATCACACTTTCTGGTGGCAGTTTACAAAGTGGATGATTCCAAAACCTATGGGATTGATAGTGTTCTGCGCCCAGTCATAGAGGAACTGAAGGATCTTGAGGTCAATGGGATCTCTCTCGACACACCTCACTTTAAGGGTGAAATGAGATTTTCAGTTGCCCAGTTGTGTGGGGACAATCTCGGCTTGAATGCCATTCTTGGATTTACTGAGTGCTTCTCCAGTAATTATTTTTGTCGCATCTGCAAGGCACACAAGACCACAACAAAGACACAGACAAAAGAGGATGCATCCCTGATCAGAAATGAGGCAAATTATGCTGCAGATGTTAGTCGTAACAGCATGTCAGATACTGGTGTCAAGAGAGACAGTATTCTGAATAATTGATCCAACTTTAATGTGACACACAACAAGGTTTTGGATATTATGCATGGCTTGTTGGAAGGGGTAGGTCCATTTGAACTGAAGTTGGTTCTCGCCTCCTTGATTGAGGACAAACACCTTACCCTTGACACGCTCAACTTCAGAATCACCAGTTTTGATTATGGCTTTTCTGATGTCAAGAACAAGCCAACTGTGATTGGGAAGCAGGAACTTAGAATTCCAGAAAGGGCAATGCGTCAGTCTGCATCCCAAACATGGTGTCTTCTCAGGCATGTTCCGTGTATGATTGGGGACCTCATACCGGAAGAGAATAAACACTGGGAGCTCTTGCTCCTCCTTCTGGAATGCATGGAAATTGTTTTCTCTCCATCTCTGACACCAGAAGTTACCGTTTATTTAGCCGCCATCATTGAAGAGCACCACTCTCTGTTCCTTGAGCTGTACCCCCACAAGCACCTTATTCCAAAGCATCACTTAATGGTGCACTATCCAGGTGCAATACTGAAGTTGGGACCCCTGATTCAGTTCTGGGCAATGCGTTTTGAAGCGAAACATGCCTTTTTTAAACGCATCTGCCACATCACCTGCAACTTCAGAAATATTTGCAAGACAATGGCATTTAGGCATCAGATGACTCTGTGCTACTCCCTCCTCGCTGGTGATGTATTCAAACCGGAAACTGAAATTGGTCCAGGTCACAGCACAGCTGGCTGTAATGGATGGTTTTGGTGAGGTACAAAGTGGTCTTGAAGATATCCCACCCTTTACTGAAACCTTTTTGCCAACTTGGGTAAAGGTTAGTGGTACACAATACAGACCTGGCGTGACAGTATTTCTGTCTTACGCTGCTGATGGAGACCCCCAGTTTGGCCTAGTGAAAAATATTCTAGTCTTGGATCACTCAGTCAAGCTTGTTGTCCAAAAGTGGGATACAGTAGGATTTGATAGGCATGTGTTTGCCTATGGTGTTGAGGCAACCACTAATGTGTTTGCTGTTGATCAGAGTTACCTCCAGGACTATCACGGTGTCCATGCAGTGAAGTCCTACAGAGATGATGACAATTACTCATACGTTTCACTTAGATACAGAGTCTTTTAACCGCTGCATCCAAATTCTGGGGATATTTGCCAAAAAAAGCAACACAAAGCATTGAGAGCTTGTAGATTGGCTATTGGCTGCAAAGATATTTGGTGTAGAGAGAAATTAGAAATGATCTCCGCTAGGCCAGATTGGCTTAGCCTGGGATCACTAACAAGTTCTTCCACAGTAGGAACTTAAAAGTAAATTAGAGTCAACTGGAATGGAATATGATAAATCTGAATGATACATCTTGATCACATGGCTGCAGAGATGTGTACCATTTGTATGAGTTTTGTTCAAGTAGCAGCAAAAAGTGTGTTTTGGAGAAAATGCACACTGGTGGAAAATATAGTCCAGCACAAATGGTCATGACTTATACGGGGAGTTGAGTCATGAGCCTGCACGACCAAGGGTTCAAGAGTTATAGGCCAAAACATGGAAGTGGGCTGTTGCCACCATGAGGCGATTTGAAAAGTGTGGGGCAGAGGTTCTTCCTTAGCCTACTGGGAGTGTGCGTGCAAAGTTTCACACTTATCGGTCCAGCTGTGCTGATGATTAGCTGCTCACATATGGGTAGGATTGATTTAGGACATTTGTGATGGCATTGCCTGATCCCGTCTCTGTAAATACAGTTGACAGAATTCTGAAGTTGACCGTTCTATCATCTATATGGTTTAAGAAGTCTTTGGAATCATCCCTTAACCGATTCTCTACAGACTGCCATTGCCACTAACGCACCAAGGGTTCTCCAAGTTCTGTAGACACTTCAATGGAGGAGTCCACATCAAGTAATCTCCTGACTGAGACGTTGAACCTGCAACCATCATTTGTAAGTATTGACTAAAGAAATCCAAGTGAAAATGCAATCCTAATGATACTGAATTTTAATTTATTCAACGATTTGTTAATTTAACATGTATTTACACAATTGTCAAGTTATTTGATGAGATGTTTTGTACTAAAACATACTCCTAGGCTCACTTGCTGTTTTTGTGTTCGTGGGTTGTGTGTGTTTAGTTTCTACTCCCTCCTGTCGTGACTGACTGACAGTGTGACTTGAGTTCTGTCTTTTCTCTCTTCTTTCTCTTCTCTGTCTGCGGACTGCGCCCCTGGCCGGTGTAATAACTGGCCAGTGTAATAACTGGCCAGTGTAATAACTGGCCGGTGTAATAACTGGCCCGTGTAATAACTGGCCGGTGTAATAACTGGCCAGTGTAATAACTGGCCGGTGTAATAACTGGCCAGTGTAATAACTGGCCGGTGTAATAACTGGCCGGTGTAATAACTGGCCAGTGTAATAACTGGCCAGTGTAATAACTGGCCCGTGTAATAACTGGCCAGTGTAATAACTGGCCAGTTATTACACTGGCCAGTGTAATAACTGGCCAGTGTAATAACTGGCCGGTGTAATAACTGGCCGGTGTAATAACTGGCCAGTGTAATAACTGGCCCGTGTAATAACTGGCCCGTGTAATAACTGGCCGGTGTAATAACTGGCCGGTGTAATAACTGGCCCGTGTAATAACTGGCCAGTGTAATAACTGGCCAGTTATTACACTGGCCAGTGTAATAACTGGCCAGTGTAATAACTGGCCAGTGTAATAACTGGCCGGTGTAATAACTGGCCAGTTATTACACTGGCCAGTGTAATAACTGGCCAGTGTAATAACTGGCCCGTGTAATAACTGGCCAGTGTAATAACTGGCCAGTTATTACACTGGCCAGTGTAATAACTGGCCAGTGTAATAACTGGCCGGTGTAATAACTGGCCGGTGTAATAACTGGCCAGTGTAATAACTGGCCCGTGTAATAACTGGCCCGTGTAATAACTGGCCAGTTATTACACTGGCCAGTGTAATAACTGGCCAGTGTAATAACTGGCACTACAAATCCTGAACCAACCAACCTAAACATTGGAGGGAAAAATGTCCTCCCAAAGTTTTGTCAGTTTTCATTGTGATTCATTCTATGTTTTATAGGCAATTCGCCAGATTCTTCAAGGCACTACTCGGGGGAAAGAAATAGTACAGAGTTTAGAAGAAAAGCGCTCCATCATCAGCAAGCAGAGAAAGCAACTTGTAAGACTACTTGTATCTCACCTGCTGGAAACCAATGGTGAAACGTGAGTGAGCCGCATATGAATTATTCTGTGAACATACACTTTCAAACAGATGAGATAAGAAATGTCAGTAAAGTAAATGTACGATGTTGCTGTCCAACACTGGCTATCACACACCTTCAACAACAACCGAGGAGTGCATGCGGTGAACAGCAGAACTCAAATGCACTTTAAAAGCGCATCACAATTCAGTGTTTAATTCATGGTTTTGAATCGTCATATATTTGTAACAATGATTACTGTCTCATCTCATCGTTCTTTGACAAACTTCTACTGTCTATTTTAACAGGCCATCCACAGACACAAAGAAAGCCCTTGCCGTGGCATTGGTGTATGAATTCCCTTGCCTTTTGGATGGTACAGGCAGTGGCTATGTAAGTTAATCAATCAACACATAAAGGAGAACACTCCATACACACACACCTAAAAGAAATGTGCTCAAACGTTTTTCCTAGTGCACAGTCACACACACATTTTGGGATTGCTCCTTAAAATCCCATGTAACCATCTTCATGGTTTACGCCAGGCCAATTTAATCTGAATCTAATTTTCTCTTTTACAGGGAGCTTGGTACACAACTGGCCGAAATCACAAACCTGCTACAGGTTTCCTGGAGGAGCGCTTGAGGAACGCCAGGAAGCGCATGAGAATTCTGAAACGACCACGCCACCAAGAACAACAGAAGGAACCGACCGTCCCCAGTACACCAGGTAATACTAATAACCAATATTAATTATCCCCGCCAGGCTAGAATAGACAAATGCAAGGGATTATATTTTAGGTCCCATGACTCTTCTGTCCATCCATCTTCTAAAAGCTAGTCTCAGGCACCGCTGGACCGATTGGCGACTTTTCACACACTCTCCCAAGTAGGCCAGAACCCCAAATGTTTGAAATCAGCTATAATGAATCTGAGGACCTCTGTACTCATCATTCAACAGAATATGATGTGCCTCCTGAAAAACTTCTAGAAATGGTTGAATGGATGAAGGTCAATCGGTATCCGGTGTCCCAAGTTGAGGACTACATGAATCAAACAGCTCTACATAGAGGCAAGTGGATTCGCAGCAATGGATCTAAAAGCCTCCCGGAAATCTTGACTGAGTTCCCTAGGCTTTTAGACAATCCTGGCATGGTAAGAAATGATTTTGCTATTGCGGTTTTGTCTATTTGAATGATACTCTATTTGTGTTAGGATTTGAAGTAAGGCAGGACCCAAATGCAGATTGAGGAAAAGCGGGTTTCAAAGTGTAACAAAAGGCGAGCTTTAATTACAAAAGGTTGTTGACAATGAAAAAACAAAACAAAACCATGAATCCATAAACAGGTAGCACAAGGTAGCATCCAGCCAAAAACGACAGTGACAAACATGGAGGGTGACAGGAAAGACAATGAACCGACAAGGAACACAGGGGAAGACAAGACTAAATTGTATTGTCATACTGATATTTTGTACAAACTGTGAAGTCCACTGAGACAAATGTAACATTTGTGATATTGGGCTATAAATAAACATTCATTGATTGATTGATTGACTAAATACAAAGAGGGGCAATCACAGGGCAAGACACAGGGAGGGAATGCAGAAACACAAAGGCAATAGGTGAACACAATCAGACACAGGAGGGAAAACACAGGAAGGAAGAAAAGACACAGGTGAGGAGGGAGGAGAAAACACAGAGGCACAAGGTGAACACAATTGTGTTATCAGGCAGGAGGGAACACAGAGACAGGAAGCAACAGACAAGACGGGGGGGGTGAACACTTTTCAAAATAAAACAGGAAACCAAAAACAGATCTAGACAAGACAAAACACAACACAGACAGATCGTGACAATTTGACTGATACTCTGCAATGCACTACAAGTTTATGTTTAACCACTTAGACCCTACAGTATATACTTTGTAATAATTGAATAATGTACCTGTTGAAGTGACACTGGCTGTCAAATTGTCCCCTAACCCTTTTCCTAACAGGTACTACAAGCCCATATCATTTCTTTAAACACTGTTCTATTGTTTTTCATGTTTTTCAAAATGTATCAGATATCACAAGACTTCCAGCAGCTTCATCCAGAGGCAGTGAGAGAACTGTTTCAGAACTGGGCTACTATGAGTGACCAAATCCTTACATATGCCCAGCGAGAGGGAAAACTGCCCTTGGTGTTTGATGACATGACACCAGGTAAGCTATTTCTTACTATGTAACACACACCGGTTCTTTGAAAATAGCAGATGTACATGCTTGCATTGCGTCCCAATGAGACTCGTTGTGAGCTTGTGGATCTGCAATTTTTTTAATATTTTAACAATCATCTGTATGGGGTCCCTTGCACAACATGTTTTCGGATGGGAGTGTGTTGACAAATACATAAATACATGAACAAGTTTGTGAACCACTTCATTAGATACCTTTTGTCTTTCTTTGATTCCTGCTCCCCCCCTTCCTTTTCTTTCTCTTTCTGGAAACAATCAAAACGATGGAGCTTGCACAAAAACAAATTTCACCCACTGTTTTACAACAGTGTTTTTGTAAACCTGTGATGTGACAATAACGATTCTGATTCTGATAAGATGTCACAACACTTCCTGTGATTATAATAGGCTATACAATTCACGCCTTGTTTTTACCATTCAACACCATCTTTATATACTATTTAAATGTTGATGTTAATATATATTTTTCTTATATTGCGTAGACCGAGCTTTGAAAGTCCTGCTGATTCTGCTTCCTCCATCGGTCTACAGGATTGGAGGAAAAGTCCACAGACCCACCATAGAGGAGTCCCGCAAGTCCTTCATTAATATCCAACCAGTAAGTTTTACTTTTGTTTTTCTACTTCAATAATGGTGGGTGTTTCTGTGTTTATATACTAGCATTTTCATACTTCAATAAAAAAGATAATAAAAACAACATGCTTAACTTAAATGGCAGGTTATATTGCAAGTAACTGTTGTGTAATTAACAGGTGGGCACCAACATGGTACAGTACCTACAGACAGTAGAGAGAACTCAACCCTTCCCGCACATCTTGTGTCTTGGTGATGACATGACAACATGCCAGACCTTCACCATTGTGTCAGACAACGCCATTGAAACGGACACTTTGCTGGGTGCAGTAGATCTGTGTTTTAAGGCTTTCTTTGTGTTTGACCTCAATTACACAAAGCAGTGTCTCCCCACCTGGGAGTTTATCCAACAGGCAGTATATAACATTGATGGAAAATGAATCCTCAAATGTCAAATTTATGAGGACATCAATTGCAGCTTTGGCCTAAAGGTACACAGAGAGAAGTAGCCTTTTAGTGATGTGTGTCAAACAAGTTGACAGCTGCTCTCTAAAAACATGATTGACACAAAACATGATTGCAGAAGACAGTAGGCACACACTTTAATTGTGTCAAAACATTGACCCGCGTTTACAGTACCTACTATTCCTGTTAATTCATTTATTTTTATTTTATTTTTATTACTTTACGTGATTTAATTTACTTATTATTTACTTATTTAATTTACTTCATTTATTTATTGACCTTGTTATGTTTGTGTCTGTATATAGTTTCTGCTGGGCAGAGAAATGTTTTATCTCTATATTTAAACATGTTCATGTTATTTAAACCTGAAAGAGAAGTTGGTCCAGATAACAGCACTTTGTAATATATCATTTGTTTTAAGGCTCTTTGGTTTTTTTGGGGGGGGGGGGGTTGCATTTGTATTGTTTGCATTGTTCTTTTATAGTGGCCTGAATGTTGACGATTTGCCAAAGATGTTCAAATTATGAATAAATGCATTTTTATATATATACGGTGTGTTTGGAGATTATTCATTACACTATTATACATTATTATTATATTCTATTTAGCCCAACAATATAGTTAATTTCAATCACTAGCTTGGGTCAAATAAACAACCCAATGTATGGGTTAAAATGATCCAGCCCAGCATATGGGTTAAGACAACCCAGCGCGTGTTCTGTCCTATAGTGACTCAGCAGCTGGGTTATGATTGGGTTATTTTTTAACCCAGTAGTTTTAAGAGTGTACTTTAACGAAAAAGTATCAAAAAATTAAAAACTCTTCCTAATGCTGCCAAAAGGCCCAAGCTGCTCTTATAGTCTTCAGATGGGTCTCGTCGTTCTCCATAAGCTGTTCGTAAAGCTTCTTCATTTTAGCCTCAAAGAGTCTGGTGTTTCTGAGATTGTGCAGAATCGCCTCGGTAGCTCCAAAGACTCTCCTCTCCGACACGTGAAGGTGGCTCTGGTGTAGAGCGTCCCGAATAGCTGGAATGAAACGAACGGTCCACAGTCTCTTTACCACTTCATCATAGTTTCGATCCAGATAGTATTCTTCGGTCGGAAATAAACACTCGTGCTGCATCTGACTTGGGTGATCGACTTGACATCCGTAACATTTTTCCTTTCTGTAAAGGTACACGACCCTGTCCAACAGATGAACTACAACTGCTTTTACCGTATTCAGGAATGACGATGTCCGAGCACGTTCTGTAGCATCACCCTCGGGAGCACAAGGAAAGCATGGCGCATCAATGCCTACTGCTGTTGATTCCCCTGGAGACTCGGATGGAGGTTGATGCATATCCAGCCACCCCGTAATATCAATACCAGCCATATAGCTGTCGAGATCTGGTGTCCAGATTGTTAGAGAGGATGGAGGTCCTACAGGCGTTTGCTCCAGGCTGCAGCTCGCGGTGAGAGAGTTGTTTTCTCCCAGATCCATGGTTGCTGCTCACAAAATGTCCTTGAGGTGTTCTCATTTTTAAATGATCTGGTGAGGAAAGGCGGGACTTCTTATGTTGAGTGGTAGGCGGAGCACTCTGTAAAAAGTGAGAGTCTTTTGCAGTCAAACCGGGGGGAAAATCTGCCACTTCCTCACAGAGCCCCTCCTCCAACACACATGAACGCGCACACATGACCAAAAGAGGGCACGAGATAAGTTTGTGCACAGGCTGTAGGCGTCTGAACCCCCCGCACTGCTGCATTCGTTTCTTGACTGACGCTCCGGACGGATGGCGGTAAGTTGTCACAGGCTGATTAAAAACCCCATTCGAGGCGTCTCTTGGCCATTTTCCTTTTTTGAAAGGTGACTTGGTAAATGGAAATGCCTGTCTTTTTATTTAGTTTGAGCATATTTCTATCTTCATCTAATTCCACCCCCCACTATTTGTTAGCGTCATAGTTACAGTAGTCTAGGGGATTGCAGAAAAATCGTGCAAATGATGATACAAGCATCACATTTGGCACACTTGTTCTCCAAGTGGTACTAATCAAATCTGCCTGATTGGCCAATTGAAAATCCAAGATGGCGGCCATTTTCCAAAATGGCCGCCAGATTAGCCGCCCGACAACCGTAATAATTCGGCACAGAAAGGGTTAATCAAATTTTAAAGGTCATAAATGGATGCGATAATTTAAGACCTTTAATTTGATACCTAATTTATGGGTCTACGACCACAGGAAATACTTTAACCCATTGGGAACCATTGTCGACTTTTGTCACCATGAGTACTATTTGCACTTTGGGTCTCAAAGGGTTTTAATAAAGCACACTGACACATTTTTCAAGATGGCCACCAGATTGCCTGTTTTTTATTACGTAAGCTTTACCCCGGCTAGCAAATGTTCAAAGTTATTTATACCATGCCACTGGTCCTCCAGCTGCTACTGTTCACATATGCAGCTGCAGAGTGATGTGCAGGGGAGCTCTGACTGAAAGCATTTGCATCTTCCTGTGCAACCTTTCTTACAGGAACACTTCCTCAGTTCCCGACAACTCGCTGCAATAGGGGGTAGTGTTGTCCAACATATCTGCCATGTCTCTCCTTTCTGTGTCCATCCCCATTCAGCGGGACTGCTCGTGTCTGGATTGGAGATGGTTGCCTGGCCCCAGATGATCCCAGCCTGATAAGCCGCACGCTTTGCATGTTCTCTGAGCGCTGCCTGTGTTGGTGGAATTGAGTTGTACGGCCTCTGCTTGCGGGCAAAGAGATCTAGTCTTGCTTCATCCACACCAGTGGTTGCGCTTGATCTGTCGTACATGAGGACAACGAATCTCTCCAGCTTCTGCAGGTCAAGATCACAAATCAATGTTGGATGCTGGCTGAGATTAGTGAATGTTTCAGAAACATCATCGAATACGTTCCAAGTCTGCCATGCAGATTTCTTCCCTTTCCCACGGAAGGCAGACACGACATCACATCCAGTGAACGCATGAAAGTATGGGATCCCTCTAGCTTTCTCAAGCCCTATTGCAGAAACTACCTCATGGACTGGAATCCATCGCATCTTGGCTCCTTGGCCAAAGGCAATCCACATTTTCTCAAGACCTAGTTCCTGTAAGGATGGCAGTACAGATATTGCTATGACTAGCACGTCCGTGTCATTAGCCTTAATGATAATAGACTTGCTCCCATCAGTCGTTGCATCCCTGGCGTGCACAAATATTCGACTGTCAGCTTCTTCATGAGAACATGGGGACACAGCATCCAGCAACTTCCCTGTGTTGCTAATGGCTTCTTCTCCTTTTGTGACAATTACTGTGCTTGTCGTCTCTGCTTCACACATCTTTTCCGCAAGGAAGTGAAACAGCTCAGTCTTGTTGCTGGCGTCACGAAGGAAGCTTTGCCAGTTACCTGGTGTCTTACTCGTCCCTGTCACTCTTCTTCTGATTCCTTGCCCTCTTTTCGACCTTGTCTCGGATTTCAGACTTGACTTCTTGTACACATCAAAGACTACGTCCACCCGCTTGTACCTGGCACCATAGGATTCAACCTTTGGGATTATGTCTTCTTTAGCATAGTCATCAAATGTCTTTGAAGTACGTGGAGGTAAGGCATTGATAAGTGCTGAGCCATCAATGATGATTGCATCTCCATTTGGTTCTGTGTCTGGGATGTTCACTTGCGCTTCAAGAATTTCAACCAGCTGTGACTTCTGACACGTATGAAGCTTGCCGCTATCACTGAGAGATGCAGGGTGCGACTGATTTTCGTGCTTGAAGAATTCTTGCAAGTTACACTGCCTGTTCTGGCACGAGATGAACAGTCGCAAGAATAACTGACAGTCGTCTTTCAGGACTTTCTCCTTAGAAATGTCCTTAGCCTGCTCTTGTTTGAAGAAAGAAGCAAGGTTTTTCTTGATCGGATTATAAAAAGCACTTTCACCTTCATCCTCTAGCCCCTCCATGAATGATTGGAACTGCTCTTTGCCCCGTCGGTGATGTGTTGCTACCATTTCAGCTAGAGTTGGGTCTGCAATGTTCTTCGTGTCTAGCACCAGCAGGTCGGCTGATTCTTCTTGGAATGGGTTGCCCATCTCCTGCATCACTGCAGAGAGTGATTTCACCTTTGCAAAGAAAGATTTCTGGGCACTCCTTGTCTGCTCGTGGTGTCTGCTGCTATATGTGGCATCTTTCATACCAGACATGGCCTCGTATCCAGCTACTAGACGACTAACTTCGGGTCCAGCGACCATCCACCTACGAAGTGCTGACGCGTCTTCTGTCAACCCAATTGCTCCTCCGTCACCTTTGATCACTGCATTATTTTGCTCGTGTGCTTGGTCGATCGCCAGGCCAGAGTATTCTCTTCTTGACTTGTGGATGGCAAAGTTCCCTTTGTGAAACTCTCTGGCCACATCTGGATGTTGTTGCTCAAGTGACATCATATCTCGGAGGTGAATTGGGATCCACCGCGCATAGTTGACATTGTTATTTGCAAAGAAGTAAGGCACCAGTTCTGAAAGTGCTTCACGGTAATAATAATAATTAAAACTGCGGTCGCACTTGTTCGCGCAGTGATGAGCGGGCCCTTGCGTCCGTGCGCCTGTCGGGGAGGGCGGCAGGTCGTCCCGGCGTCAAGCAGATGCGCGCGAGTCCTGGGAAATGAGCCGTTTCTCATTTCTATAATTTTCGCGTCCCAGACTCCCAGGTCCTCCGGCAGCGACCCGGAAACGGATGTTGAAGGAAAACAAATTTCTCAAAAGGCTCGTCGAGGATCGATTATCGAGGAAGCTGTCTGTAGGAGCCGTAACCGAAGATGCACTGATTTAGAGGAGAGTCTCGAGAGGAGCTATAACCGAGGGTACACTGAAGTATTCTCCTGAGACGATTTCAGCCAACAGTGATGTTTAAAAGAGGCGTGACGCATGGCTGGACTTCTGTCAACAAAGCACAGCTCTGCAAACTGTTCCCGTTGTGATTATAAGTTATTTGAGATGATCAAATGTGCATCAGACTTTCTGCCCTTTACCGTTTGTTTACTCACTAATCACATGTCCCCTGGATGTTAGGTGATGTTACAGTGAGAACAGCTGCTGAGGGCAGTGCAGAAAGCAGAACAGTGTGTATAATATATATCGCTCAATAACAAATGTAACAGGCCTACATGTCACACTTTATCTGTAGGCTTTAGGAGATATCTACAAATAAACGTAAGGGTTAGGGTTAGGGTTAGGGTTAGCGAGTGTATAGGTGTCTGTTGTAATGAATATGCCGCCAGCAAAGGGTGTTGTTGGACTAACAGTAGGTGTGTGTGTGTGTGTGTGTGTGTGTGTGTGTGTGTGTGTGTGTGTGTGAGAGAGTTGATGTGCCAGGCAAACAGGCAGGCCTCAGTAGCTTATCTGACATATAATTGGTCAAGAATGGTACATTCTC